GAAGACTATGTATTCCTCATTTGATAGTCTTGGCACCCTTGTCAAAAATCAGTTGACCATAGAGGTATACATTTATGCCAATAACACATTGTTTTGATTATGTAGCATGTTTTGAAATTGGAAAGTATGAGTCCTCCGAATTTATTCTTTTTTTTTTTTTTTGAGACAGTCTCACTTTGCCACCCTCAGTGGAGTGCTGAGGGGTCATACCTCCCAGCAACCTCAAATTCTTGGGCTCAAGTGATTCTCTTGCCTCAGCCTCCTAAGTAGCTGGGACTACCGGCTCCCACCACAATACCTGGCTATTTTTAGAGATGGGGTCTCACTCTGGCTCAGGATGGTGAGCTCCTGAGCTCAAGCAATCCACCTGCCTTGTCTTCGCAGACTGCTAGGATTACAGGCATGAGTCAGTCCTTGTGCCTGGCCTTCTAATTTATTCTTCTTTCTTCAAGATTGTTTTGGCTATTTGTGATCTCTTGCAACTCCATATGAATTTAAGGGGTGATTTTTCTATTTTTTCAAAGCCATTGAGATTTTGATAGGGATTGCATTGCATCTATAGAACACTTTGGGTAGTGTTGCCTTCTTACCAATATTAAGTTTTCTAAGCCAGAAACACAAGCTATCTTTCCCTTTAGTCTTTAATTTCTTTCAGCACCATTTTTTTTTTTATATTGTTGGGGCTTCGTTGAGGGTACAAAGAACCAGGTTACACTGATTGCATTTGTTAGGTAAAGTCTGTCTTATAATTGTGTCCCACCCCCAAAAGTTGTGTCACACACCTTGACCCCCCCCCTTTCTTGCCTCTCTCTGCTCTTCCCTTTCCCCATTCCCCACCATGTACCAGGTCATTCATTGTCCTGATATCAGAACTGAGTACATAGGATACTTGCTTCTCCATTCTTCTGGTGCTTTATTAAGAATAATGTGTTCCACTTCCATCCAGGTTAATACAAAAGGTATAAAGCCTCCATCTTTTAAATGGCTGAATAGTATTCCATGGTGTACATATACCACAGCTTTTTAATCCATTTCTGGGTTGGTGGGAATTTAGGGTATTTCCAAATTTTGGCGGTTGTAAATTGAGCTGTGATAAACAGTCTAGTGCAAGTGTCCTTATGGTACCAGCACCATTTTCAAGTTTTTAGTATATTTTGTACCTCTCTGGTTAAATTTATTCTTGAGAATTTTATCATTTTTAATGCTACCAAAAATTGAATGGTTTTCTTAATTTCATTTTCAGATTATTCATTGCTAGTGTGTAGAAATACAATTTATATTTTATGTTCACTTGTACCCTGAAAATTTACTGAATCTGTGTATTAGCTCTAATAGTTGGAATTTGTGTATTAGCTCTAATAATTTGTTTTTTATTCTTTACAGTTACCATATATAAAGTAATACCATCTATGAATCAATCTTTTTTGATTTCAGATTAATATGAGACTACAAATGATTAGGTTACAATGTTTGCATTTGTTAAGTAAAATCACTGTTGTAGTTGTGTCCCACAACAATGAAGTTTGCCAGATACCCTTACACTGTGCCCACTAAGTGGGAACACACCAATTCTCCTCCCTCCTCCCCTAATTTCTTCTTTTTCAATTTGGATGACCGTTTTTTCTTAGCCTGATCGTTCTGGCTTGAATTTCCAGTACAATGTTGAATACCAGTGTAGAAAACAGACATCATCTCTCTCTTTTTTTTTTTTTAGAAATCATCTTCTTCTTTCTGATCTCAGAGCACTAGCTTTTAATCTTTCACCATTGAGTATGATGCTAGCTCTGGGTTTTCCACTAATGCCTTTTATAATATTGAAGATTTCTCTTTTATTCTTAGTTTTCTGAGTAGTTTTTCTCAAAAAAAAAAGTGTTGGATTTTGTGAAATGTTTTTTTTCTGCATCAATTTGTATGATTATATGTGTTTTTATCATTCTCTTAATATGGTGTATTATGTTGTGTAATTTCTTGGATGAATTGCATGTAGTCATGATATACAATCCTTTAATATGCTGCAGGATTCAGTTTGAAAAATTTGTAAAATTTTACATCTATAACATTCCAAGATATTGGTCTGTATTGCTCTCAGGATAAAATGAACCTCACAGGAGTTAGGAAATGCCCCTTCCCATTTTATATTTTGGAAGAGTTTGAGAAGAGTGTTAATTTTCCTTTAAATGTGTATGTGCTGTGGTCTGAATGTGTACTCCCCAAATTCATGCGTTGAAACCTAATCACCAGTGTGATGCTTTTAGGAAATGGGGTGATTGGGAGGTGATTAGGTCATGAGAATAGAGCCCCAGAGAGTAACCCTCTCTCTTCCAACATGAGGACACAGAGAAAAGGCACCAAATCTGCCAGTGCCTTGACTTTGGACTTACTTCCCAGCCTCCAAAACTGTGAGAAATAAGTTTATGAACTACTATTGTTTATGAACTACTCAATCTATAGTTTTTGCTATAGAGCCCAAATGTAATAAGATGATTGACATTGATTCTTTAAACACTTGATAGAATTCATGACTGAAGCCTTATGCCCCTAGGCTTTGCTTTTTTTTTTTTGAGACAGAATTTTACTTTGTCTCCCTCGGTAGAGTGCTGTGGCATCATAACTCATGGCAACCTCAAACTCAAGGGCTCAAGCAATTCTCTTGTTGTAGCCTCCGGAGTAGCTGGGACTACATGCACCCACCAAAATGCCCACCTATTTTTTAGAGATGGTGTCTCACTCTTGCTCAGGCTGGTCTTGAACTCCTGAGCTCAAGCAATCCACATGCCTTGGTCTCCAGAATGCTAGGATTACAAGCATGAGCCACTGCACCTGGCCAGCTTTTAATTTTTGGAAGTTTTATAAGGATCAATTCTATCTCTCTACTTATTATATTAATAGTCTTCTTTGGATTTTCTATTTCTTCTTAAGTTAGTTTTAATAGTTTGTGTGTTTCTAGGAAACACACAAGTTATCTAATTTATTATTTGTTTCTTTGTTTAGAGACAGGGTCCCACTCTGTCACCCAAGCTGGAGTGTAGTGAAAGGATCATAGCTCTCTACATACTCAAATTCCTGGGCTCAAATGATCCTCCCACCTCAGCCTCCCAAATAGTTGGAACTACAGGCATGAACCACCACACCTGCCTAAAGGTTATCTAATTTATTGGCATGCAACTGTTCATAGTATTATCATATAATCCTTTTTATTGCTTTAAGGTCTGTGTTAATGTTCTCATTTTCATTCTTAATTATAGTTTGAATCTTCTCTTTTTTCTGTATCAAACTATTTAAATATTCATGGATTTTTCTTACCTTTTCAAAAGAACCACTTTTGATTTTTTCCAATATTTTCCTCCCTATTTTGTTCATCTCCACTCTGATCTTTATTTTCTTCCTTTCTCTTGCTTTGGATATAGTTTGCTCTTATTTTTTTAGTTCCTTTAGTGTTTTTCATGTCCTCTATTTACATATTGACCTTTTTTCTCTTTTCTTATTTTGTTTTTTTTTAAGAGACAGAGTCTTATTTTGTCACCCTCAGTAGAGATCTGTGATGTCACAGCTCACAGCAACCTTAAGCTTTTGGACTTAGGTGATTCTCTTGACTCAGCCTCCCAAGTAGCTGGGACTACAGGTGCTACTCACTGAGCCACAGACACCACCCTCCATATTGACCTTTTGCTTAGCTGTTGTGTCCATTGTTGAGAGTGGGGTTTTGAAGTCTCTATGATTTTTGAACTGCCTATTTCTCACGTTAATTCTGTCAGTTATTGCTTTATGTGTTTTCAGGCTGTTATTAAGTACTTATATGTTTATAACTATTACATCTTTTTGATGTATCTTCTTGTCCATTTTATCAATATATAAGTATCTTTGTCTTGCATGACATTTTTTGTCTTTTTCTTTTTTTTTTTTTTTTTTGCAGTTTTTGGCCAGGGCTGGGTTTGAACCTGCCACCTGCAGCATATGGGCAGGCACTCTACTTCTTTGAGCCACAGGCACCACCCCATTTTTTGTCTTAATGTCTATTTTGTCTGATATTAGTAAAGCCACTCCAGCAATCCTTTGATTACTGTTTGCATGGAATATATATTTCCATCTTTTTACTTTGAATCTATTTCTGTCATAGAATCTGAAGTGAACCTCTTGCAGAAAGCACATAATTGGACCATATTTTTCATCCATCTGTTAATCTTTACTAACATTGATTAGCAAATTTAATTCATTTAATTTTAATGTAATTACTGCCAAATAGGACTTAATTCCACCATTTTAATGCTTAGTTTTCTATATCTTATGTGGGTTTTGTTCAATTGATCCATCATTGACTCCTTTTCTGTATAATTCATTTTTTAGTAGTGTTGCGTTTTGATTACTTTCCAATTTCTTTCACTATACTTTAATTAGTTACTGAGTGGTTTTCCTGAGAATCATAATTAACATATATATTTTTTGAGACAGAGTCTCAAGCTGTAGCTCTGGGTAGATGCCGTGGTGTCATAGCTCACAGCAACCTCCAACTCTTGTGCTCAAGTGATCCTCATGCCTCAGTTTTTCTATTTTCAGTAAAGACAGAATCTCACTTTTGCTCAAGCTGGTCTCGAACACATGAGCTCAAGCAATCCACCCACCTCAGCCTCCCAGACTGCTAGGATTACAGATGTGAGCCATCCTGCCCAGCCACAATTAACATACTAATATTGGTCTAGTTCAAATTACTATCAAATTAGTTTCAGTAGTATACATAAGACCCTGAGAGGTTGCCGTCACGTAGTGCGTAGATAAGTCATCCCGCGTGCATAGAAAAGTCATTGCGCATGCGTAGATAAGTCATCGCGCGCGTGTGCGCGCGCACACGCGTAGTTAAGTTATTGCGTACACAGGCACTCCTAGTAGAGGCCTGCCGGAAGCCAAGATGGCGCCTGTGTGGTGTTCAGGCCACGGTTGGCGCCTTATCGGTGTCTAAACAGAGTGTTTTGGAAGGGACTGAGGCAAATGCCTTCTCTGCCACCATGGCCCGGCATCGGAATGTCCGTGGCTATAACTACCATGAAGATTTTGAAGATGATCTCTATGGCCAGTCTGTAGAGGATGATTATTGTATTTCTCCATCAACAGCTCAACTTTATTCATGCCTTGATCACATGAGAGAGGTACTTGGTGATGCTGTGCCAGATCAAATACTGATTGAAGCAGTTCTGAAGAACAAGTTTGATGTGCAGAAGGCTTTGTCCATGGTTCTGAAACAAGATAATGTGCAGAATTTGAAGGACAAGAGTGAGGAAACAGTATCTACAAGAAGGATAGAAAAGGGAGTCTTATTTTCTTCCTCTGACATTTCAGCCGATAAGATTCAAAGTTCTTATCCTCAATCAGCAAATCATTTGGATTGCAACAGGAAACCCTTTGATTTTTCTAGCTCAGTAGCAAAATATGGATGTCATAATTCATCAGTTCCGAGTCACTATTTACATCATAGAAAAAAGAAACGTAACAGACCTAAAAGTGAAAAGAAACTAGAATCACGTAAGTTAACAAAAGACTTTTCACTAGCTGACTTAATTCATGATATACCAAGAGATTCTTGTAAAAGTCAGAGATCAGTCAGATTATCACCCACAGATAGTCTGGGAACTCTACTTTCAAAGGACCTAGATGCTGATTTGTTAAGACCTCATGCATCTGAATGTGTTTCCAAAGATGATTCTGCATTCAAAGAAATACCAGATTTAAAGTCCTTAATGATAAAGAGCACAAGACCGAATAATTCTTTATTTGTTCAAAATAATTCACTATCTGATTTCCAAAGCATTCCAGTACAAAACAGCTTAGGAAGTTCAAATAATTCTTTGCACTTAACTAGCTCATTGGAAAATACAACTCTTGATAATTTAAATGCTAGTAAAAAGACTGAAATTGGAAGTGTTTCTTTAGGTGAACAAAATGCCAAGAATTACATTTTAAATAATGACAACTTGCAGTTTTTTCATCGTGAAAACCCATCCCTAGCTGAACTGTTTCAGGACCACAAAGAAAACAATCTAAGCCAATGCTTCACTTTATCTGATCTTTGTAACCAGTCATCTGCCAGTTTTACAGATTTAAGTTTGGGATCCTTTCCCCTGTCACACCTGGCAAATTGGTCTCAGTCTTCAGATGGAGTATCAGAATTAACAGGATCTCTGTCATCTTTGGCATTTCATAAAGCTTCTCCCACAAGAGACCTTGAGAATGTGTCACTTTCTGATTTGATTGCAGAAACAATTGCTGTAGACAACGCTCCGATTAGGAAAGATTCCTTTGAGCTCAGTTTATCTGAAATGAAGTCTTCTGGAATAGATTCAGATATTGATCTTAGTGTCCTTATAAAAACCACAGATTTTGCCCCAAAGCCTTTAGTAAACCAATCAGTTGCTCCACCATCAGGAACTAAAGTTTCAGGTTCAAAGTTAGGGAAAAAATTCAATTTTCCTAAGGATAATAAGAAAAACAATAAAGGCCCTTTGACTAGGAAACCACCTTTTTCTCTCTCTTGGACCAAGACCCTTGCTGCTAGACCTTCAGCTTTTGCTTCAACTTTGTGTCTTCGTTACCCACCGAAAAGCTGCAAGCGACGCACCTTTGACCTGTATAAGACTTTCCTTTATAGTAGACAAGTTCAAGACATAAAGGACAAAGAAATAAGTCCTCTTGCAGCAATAACACCATTTGACTTCAAATCACCATCTCCTGATGACATTGTAAAAGCTAACCAAAAGAAAACATTTATTAAAGAATACTAACAAAAGGAAAACTTCACTGTTGTAGAGCTTTTTATTTTTAATTTAATGTCTTTATACGATCACTATATTATGGGATTCAGGTTGCGATTTTTATATTAAAATTGTCTTAAGTCGATTAATAACAATTGATTTAGTTGGTATGTATTTTTGCACTATTTTTTTTTACAATCTTCTTTTAGTGATAACTGATACTTGATAGTCTATGATGAGTATATGTTTACAAAGTGCATATGAAAAATTGATATTGTGAAATCAACCCTCAGATAATTTTATTTAAAGCATTCAACTTTGTAAGTTTTTATGATGAGATTTTTTTCTATGAAACATTTTTGTTCTTTGTTCTTAAACCAATATACCAGGACTTGCGATTATTATAGTTCAGTGTGAAGATTATTCTTATGATATGTGGCATAGGATAGCTGAGATGTAATGTAGCCTTGATATCATTCCTAGTTTCATTATTTTTCTGCAGGTAAATACTAAAATTTTTCTATTAGAAAATTTTAAAATTCCAGACTTTTGAGAGTATTATGGAAGCTATTGCAATACATTTTTAATGCTGATATAATAAAAATATTTTAAGGGACCATGTCAATATAGAAGTTGGATTAATACATGAATTATTTTTATACATTTTCAAAGCCATGTCCTAAATGTACCCTTTAAGATAAATATATAGAAAGTAAAAAAAAAAAAGTATAGATGGATTTGTAAGTATAATATGTATACCCAAAATATGTACAACTATTATATGACAATTAAAAAAAAAAGAAGAGCTAGAAACATCATACTACCTGATTTTAGATGCATTACAAAGCTACAGCAATCAAAACAGTGTGGTACTGGCATAAAGGCAGACCAATAAAACAGAATAAAGTCTAGAAATAAATACACATATATACAGTCAACTGATCTTCAACCACAGTGCCAAGAATACACAAAGGGAAAGAATAGTCTCTTCAATAAACAGTGCTGGGATAACTTATTACCCACATGTAAAAAAATAAACTTGGACCCTGGTCTTATACCACATACTAAAATCAATTCAAAATGGATTAAATATTCAAACATAAGACCTGAAACTATAAAATCCCTACAAAATAATAAACAGGAAAAGCTTCATGACATTGGTCTTGGTAATAATTTCACAAATATGGGCTTGGCACCTGTAGCTCAGTAGTTAGGGCTCTGGCCACATACACAGGGGCTGGTGGGTTTGAATTTGGCCAGGGCCTGCTAAACAACAATGACAATTATAACAGAAAAGTAGCCAGGCATTGTTGCAGGTAGTCCTAGCTACTTGGGAGGCTGAGGCAAGAGAATCACTTGAGTCCAAGAATTTGAGGTTGCTGTGAGGTATGATCCACGGCACTCCACTGAGGGTGACAAAGTGACACTCTATCTCAATAAAAATTAATTTCATAAATATGATGCATAGCCAAAAATATAAAAGTAAACAATCAAGACTGCATCAAACCAAAAACTTTCTACACATCAAAGGAAATCAATCATCAAAGTGAAAAGGCAACTGACAAATGGAAGAAAAATATTTTAAAAGTATATATCTGACAAAGGGATAATCTTCAGAGTATACAAGAAATCCTACAACTCAATAGTTTTCAAAAAGACTAACAACATAATTTTAAAATGGGCTAGAGATTTCAATGGACATTTCCCCAAAGAAAGCATAAAAATGTCTAACAGGTGCATTAAAAAATGCTCAGTGTCACTAATCATTAGAGAAATGCAAATCAATGAGATAGCTCATGCCTATCAGGATTGCTATTACCAAAAACAAAAACAAGGGTGGCGCCTATGGCTCCAAGGAGTAGGGTGCCAGCTTCACATACCAGAGGTGGTGGGTTCAAACTTGGCCTTGGCCAAAAACTGCAAAAAAAAAAAAAAAAAAAAAAAAAAAAACCAAACAATAGACTTTGGTGAGGAAAGGAAAACTTACAACTCTCGCATAGTGTTGGTGGGAACACCAAGCGATGCAAAAGCTATGGAAAACACTATAAAGGCTTCTCAAAAAACCAAAAATAGAACTACCATAAGATTCAACAATTTCACTTTTGGATATTTATCTAGAATAATTGAAATCAGGATCTCAAAGAGATATTAGCACATCTATGTTCATTACAGCACTATTCACAACAGCCAAGGTTTGGAAACAACCTAAATGTTCATCAACAGATGAATAGATTTAACAAATGTAGTATATGCATATAATAGAATACTATACAACCTTTAAAAAAGAAGGAAAGTCTGCAATATGTGACGACATCATTGCACCTGAGGATATTACGCTAAGTAAAGTAAGCCAGAAACAGAAAGACACATAGTGCATGACTCTATTTATATGACATATGTACAATAGTCAAATTCATAGGATCAAAGAGTGAAATAATATTTTTAAAACCCTTGCTCTTATATAGGTCCGTCCTACCCCAAAGCTGTTAATGTCACAGATTACATCTTTATACAGTGTGCTCACCAACATATAGTCTAATTTAGATTTTAGCCATTTGTCTTTTGAATTACATAGGAAAAATGTAGTATTATAATTTGTATTTCCCTCCAGCAGCCAAACTTCTCCATCCTGGAGGGGATATGGTGGCCAGGCTATGTTGTGGAAGATTAATTGCTTCTTCTGAGGGTTTGGGGGTCAGGCTGTTCCTGGTTATTCAAGATACATCTCAAGGGAGACTTCATCTTAGAAGAACTGGAGCCCATCTGAAACGCAACCTGAGGGATGCCCACAATCCTGACTATCCTACAGTGCATGACAGCTGGTAGGCAGCCGCCTGTCCAAATTAGTCATGCTTACTAGTGTGGGGGTTGAACTCCCTTCCTCGTCCAGCCGGTTCCTCCCACACAACTCCTTGGGACTGCTGGGTTTAGTGGCTTCCTTCCTGCACCCCCCACCCCCCGCCCACTGCTTTGTGGTGAGAGTGGTGACTCCAAGTTTCAGAATGACCCCAGTAGGTCTGACCACATGCCTGCCCCAGAAGAATGAGTGCCCTGAGAAGGTTTTCCAAGTACAGCAGCCTGAGGGAGGGAGGAGGCCAGGAAAGCGGCCATGGCTAGGACAGGGTGGCTAAAATCCAGGCCCTCTGCCCCCATTTTCCCGTACTTGAGTAAGTTCAGTAGGTGGTGAGTAACAAGCTACCAAATCGCCTTCCTCCCACAGGTGACTGTGTTAAGTATGAAGTAATTCCAGTGCTCAAAGAGCTGACCCCAAACAGGACAAATTATAGGTCCAGATATCAAAGGCGCCCCCATCCACCCACCTGAGGAAGTCTGACAGGATGCTATGTGTTCCAGGGCTTCTTCCTTTTTTTTTTTTTCCTAGAGTCAGAGCTCACTTTGTCATCCTCAGTAGAGTCCTGTGGTGTCACAGCTCACAGCAACCTCCAACTCTGTGCTTAGGCAATTCTCTTGCCTCATCCTCCTGGGTAGCTGGGACCACAGGTGCCCAACACAAGGCCTAGATTTTTTTGTTGCAGTTTGGCCAGGACTGGGTTCAAACCCGCTACCCTCGGTATATGGGGCCAGTGCCCTACTCACTGAGCCACAGGCACTGCCCTGTCCCAGGGCTTCTAACATCCATCAGGTGACCTGTTCCTTGGGAGGGCTCTAGAATAAAGGGGGCGGGTCCCTCGTAGGTGTACTGTAAGTTATTGCATGAAGGCACCAGGAGCAAGAGTCCTTTCCTTTCCACTCCAAAAGCCTCAGATTGTCCTTTAAAAGACTGCCATGGCAATTTCAACCAACAACAAAAATAAACAAATGGGACTTAACTAAAGTGAAAAGTTTCTGTACAGCTAAGGGAACAAGAACCAAAGCAAATAGACAATCTTCAGAATGGGAAAAGATATTTGCATATTATAAATCAGTCAAAAGCTTGATAATTAGGATCTATAGAGAACTCAAATTAATCAACAACAAAAAAGAGCCAATAATCCCATATATCACTGGGTAAGAGACATGAATAGAACCTTCGCTAAAGAAGACAGACGAATGGCTAACAAACATATGAAAACATGCTTATAGACCCTAATCATCAGAGAAATGCAAATCAAAACCACCCTGAGATATCACCTAACCCCAGTAAGAATGGCCCACATCACAAAATTTCAAAGCTGCAGATACTGGCGTGGATGTGGAAAGAAGGGAACATTCTTACACTGCTGGTGGTTCTGCAAACTAATACAACCTTTTTGGAAGGAAGTATGGAGAATCCTCAAAGAACTCAAATTAGACCTGCCATTTGATCCTGCAATCCCATGACTGGGCATCTACCCAGAAGAAAAGTATATCATTTTACCATAAGGACACTTGCACTAGACTGTTTATGGCAGCTCAATTTACAATCGCCAAGATGTGGAAACAACCTAAATGCCCCCCAACCTAGGAATGGATTAACAAGCTGTAGTGTCTGTATACCATGGGATACTATTTAAAAAGATGGAGACTTTACATCTTTTGTATTAACCTGGATGGAGGTGGAACACATTCTTCTTAGTAAAGCATCACAAGAATGGAGAAGCAAGAATCCAATGTACTCAATTCTGATATAAAGGCAGTAGATGATCTAATACAAGGTGGGGGGTAGGGGAAGGAGGGAGCGGGTAGGGGGAGGAGCAAGGGGGATGGGGGATCACAATGTATGGCACACCTCTTGGGGGCAGGACACAATCATAAGAGAGACTTTATCTAACAAATGCAATCAGTGTAACCTAATTGTACCCTCAATGAATCTCAAACAATTAAAAAAATACTCTTAGTAATGGGCCCTAGTTTATACTTTGCAAGCCCAAATTGCAAGGTCCTAAACTATAGAAAACAAGTTTATAACAATAGATTGGGGCAAAATCTGAATGCAAGGCTTCTTTCTTTCTTTTTGGTTTTGTGGGGTTTTTTGATCTTTTTAAACCATCTTATTCTGGAAACTTCACACACACAACACACAGAAAGCATAATATAATAAACCATATTCT